GGAGCTGAACTTTTTTCAGCTCAGTCCTCCTGCACCCAGGCACATGCAATAAAGCCATTTTGCTCTACACTGGCCTTGCGCCGTGGATGTGATTTCCCGTTGGCTCAGACCTTTTACAACCTTTACCTTAAGTGAGCTTTGTCCACTATTCTTATACATGTAGGATAACATACCTTTAAAATATCAGAGTAGCCTTGGCTGATTTTGCTCAGTGGTTAGAGCGTGGGCCCACAGACCAAAGAGTTTTGGGTTCGTTTCTGGTCAAGGGCACGTACCTCAGTTGTGGTTTGGTTCCCAGCCCTCGTTGGGGTCGTGCAGGAGGCAACCAATCATTGCGTCTCTCTTACATAGATGCTTCTCTCTTTCTCTCTCTCTCTCTCCCCCTCCCTCCCTGCCTTCCTCCCACTTTTTCTGAAGATAGATGAAAAGTATCCTTGGGTAAGGATTAAAAGGAAAAAAAGAGTAATTTTCTTTACTCTTCACCCCTCAAACACACAACTGAAGGCACCAGAACACAACACCACAGAATCCTTCATTGTTATCTTATTCCCCATATACCATCTCTGTGCTGTAAATGAATGCTAATCATTAATTATCCTGTAACCATCAATGTAAAAGAAGTATGTGTTTCTCTATTTTGCCTTTCATCCAATCCTAGAGGTTTCCCTGCTATGCTTTCTCCCACTTCCTTAATCCACCACCATTAGATTTTATGCACCTTCCTTATGTCTTCTCCTTTGTTTCTAATGTATACAATAAGCTGCAAAACTGCCATTTTCTGGAGCATTTGAGAACTTGCTTTCCAGCTATGTCCCAGTTTGGCTCAAATAAACTCCTAGAAATTCTCTGCAGATTTGGACATTTCTTACGTTTACACCTAGAAGGATTTTTCTTTAGGGAATTTGACCAGTTGGAAAGAATGACCTGCAGATACTGATGCCATGTGTTCCCAGCCAACAGCCCAGCCAGATCATCTTACAGTGAAAAACTCTCAGTAGTCCCACCTACATGCTGGGAGCTTGCAGTCACCTTTTATAGCACTTCATTCTAGTTTTTAGTTCCCTACTCTTAAGCATGAATGAATACAGGACTACTTCAGAGATATTGTGGGTTCAGTTCCAGACCACTGTAACAAAGTGAATATTGTTAACAAAGTGAGCCATAATCTCTTTGCTGGTGGGGATAGTCTTGTCTTCCAATTTGTAAAAAAATGCAACATCTGTGGAGTGCAATAAAGCAAAGTGCAGTAAAAGAAAACAAGGTATACCTGTAGTTGAGGACCACCAGAAAATTTTTAATATGATAGATGGATATCAAATTAATAGCAAAAAGCAGCTGAGAGGAATGTGAGAATATTCAGGAAGAAGAAAACTTTAAAAATTATTATTAATACCCTCATAGGGATAAGAAATCTATGACACTACAACAAAGAGATCTGAAGAACAAAAGAGAACTCCAGAAAGTAAAAACTCTATAGGTGGCTAGGAGATAAATTTGAGAAATTATCTTTTAAAGAGAAAAAAAAGACAAAGATGGAAAATAGGAGAGTAAATAAATGGTAACGGGGCTCTAAAAACAGATGTTAACAGTCTGGGCTTGATCATAGATAGTAACCTGTTCATATCTGAACAAAAACCAAAACTTGGGCGGTTGTACAGGCCAAGAATGGAGGCAGAGATGCTTGGTTAGGCAGTCCTTGCACTAGGGAGGAGAAAAATGCGGATCTGATGTCAATGTGGGCATTCGGACAGAAATGAACAGAAACGATGGGAAATTAAACGGTAGAACTGACTAAACTAGTGACCTACCAGGTGTTACGCGGGCCTGTGGGTCTGATGTAAAAGGGGGAATTGGGATCTCAAATGGATTGAGCTCAATTAAGCAAGATGAGGAATGAATAATTAAGCAAGATGAGGAATGAATAAGGACTAGCAGATTGGAGGGTGTAGCGGTAGAATGCAGATTCCCAGGTTCAGGTTCACTAAGTGTCAGATACTGGGTTAAAGTCCTTATCTTCACCTTCGGAGCTTGGTGCCGGAAGAGGGGCGGAGCTGAGCCATCACTACTACTTAGTGGGGGTAACGGTGAGTGTGTATGTAGGATATCTGATAACAGGAATCGTGAATGCACGCTCGTGCAGACTTGAACGCACTCGTGGGGTCCGCCCCGCAGAGGTAGGAGAGCCGGCTCAAACACGAAGTGCACAGGCAGACCACGCCCAAGTCCCGCTGTTAGTTTCGGGTTTTAAAGGGAAGACCTGAATCCTCTACACTTCCGGATAGTGCACAGGATGCACGGTGCGCATGTGCACATCCACCCCAGGGCTCAGTCAAAGGCAGCGGGAAGTTGGTTTTCTGAGCAGCAATTGAGCAGCTCGAAGACGACCAAAGAGAACGGACCAATAAGCAAACATCTCATTGGCTTACGTGCGCAGGTTCCCGATTCCCCAGCTTCCCATTGGGCTGTTCAAGTAGAACAGGGGCGTAACCTCTGGGGCTCCGCCCCTCGCCTCGGCCCAGCCTCGGGGGTCTAGGGCTGAGGGTGCGGAACGGAAGTGAGCGGGTGTCGTCCCTTCCCCCTCTCGTCTTCGTTAGCGCTGCCGCCGCGGCTGCCCGCTCTCCGGCGTGCCGGAGTCACCGTGCCGAAGCCTGGTCCCCGGCCGCGCGGAGCCGGGATGCACTGCTCCTGCTGTGGGTCCTCATCATGGAGACCAAACGGGTGGAGATTCCCGGCAGCGTCCTGGACGATCTCTGCAGGTAGCGCGACGCCCCGCGCGGTCCCGGCCCCGTTTCGTTCCCTGGCTCGGTTCTCTCCTCAGATTCGGGGACCTCAGAGGCCTCCCCATCTCCTTCCCCCGCCCACATCCTTGCCCTCGGTTTCCGGTCCCGCCGCCGCTCCTTTCCCGGGGACCCTTCTGGACGACACCACCCTTTTTTTTTTTACGCCACAGCCGCCCTGTGTCTTACCCCCTCCATCCTTCTTCGCGGAGCCCCGAATTTCCTCATTTTTTTGTTTCCCAATTATTTTGCTTTCCCTCGAGCGAAAGCCGCTTCTCCGAAGCTTGGGGTGGTTTGCGTTTTTATTTTTATTTTTTGGCTGCCCCTCCCCCTCTTACTGCTTTTTCTGCCTCCCTGACTTTCACTGACCGGTGCCCTCTCCTCCCCCAGTCTCATCCCCCAATTCTGTTGAAAGACCCCAAGGTTTTAAATCTGAGAGTCCCAGATTCCTGGACCTCTGCAGGGAACAGTTCTCAAATTTACCCCTTCCCCCGTAGCATTTTTCTGTTAATTGCTGTAAAGACTTACTCTCTTGTTCTTCCCCAAACTTAACCATCGGAAGGGGAAAACAATGTCTCGAGTTGGATTTGTGTTCATCCTTCAGTTGTCCTTCTTAAAGGGAAATCTCAGCCTCAGGGTTTTAACTCACGGTATACTTTTACAAGAGGAATGTTCTTCATTATTTCCCCTTGTTAGCTATAGAGAACCAAACGCGTAAAATAAACTAAAAAAAAAAATTTCATCCAAAGTAAAATTTTGGGTGCATTAGTACCCTGAGTTGTCACCGTGTAAGTGGGTTGTGAAATAATTTAAATTACAAGTGAGTTAAAGCTCTGATAAGATAACTTTTCAATTATAGTTACTGTATTTATGTCTTGAAGTCTGATTTTTACTAGTTGTGTCACATTCATGCTTTTTAAAAATTTGTTTTATGAGAACTAATATTTATGGGGTATTACTACTGAGTCCCCCTTAACATATTTAATACTCAAAACAACCCTCCTTGGTAGGTGCGGTTATTTCCATTTCTCCCTGATAGACCCAGAGAGATAATTTACACAATGTCACATTTATCCTATTTCAGAACATCAAAATTTGAAATAGGCATTTTTCTCCTGCTTTTTCTTCTGCACCAGGTGGATGTAATAGAAAATCAAGTGTAACATTTTAAGCCTCACAATAGAAAGGTACATGTAAATAAGCAAGTAGAACAATTTTGTAACTAATAAGCATGTCACTGTATTTCTTTGGTGATGGTATGATTATAATTTTTGGAATGTAACAGATTTGGGTGAACCACCTTAAAGGCACTTTTCTGTAAATTCCAGATTTTGTAAGAAAAGATAAAGGATTTGATGTACGTCTGTATGGATAAAAATTACTAGAAGAACATATACAAAAAGTGGGATTATGATTTAAAAAAATTTTTGCATTCATGTTTTCAACATTTTTTAAAGGATGTGCATTTTATAGTTAGAAAAAAGCTAAAGATAACTATTTGAAAAGATGAGCAATAATTATGGATTAATAGGGATACAGGTTTATTTAGAAAAAGGTGGGTAATCATACTTCTTATAGGCATCTAACGTAATCTTCTAGTATTGGGTTTATTTTTTTTAACTTAATTAAAACAATTTTTTAAAAATTGATTTTAGAGAGAGGACATGAGGGGGGGGAGAGAGTAGAAACATTGATGAGAGAGAACATTGATTGGCTGCTTCCTGCATGCCCCTCCCCCCCAGGGGGGGGGATTGGGTCCACAACCTGGGCATGAGCCCTGACCAGGAATTGAACCAGCTACCTCTTGGTGCATGGGTCCACGTTCAACCACTGAGCCACACTGGCCAGACTATTGGGTTTACTTTGTATGTTATGGTGGATTATATCATTTAAAGAAATATCAACCATTATGAAGATGATTGATTTTATGTGTGGAACCTGTTTACTCACGAAATAATTGTAAACACTATGTTAAACATCTGTTGAATGTTAAGTGTTCCAGTGTTTAATTTAAGCTATTTTATATAAATCTTTTGGAATATTGCAACTTTTTTCCCCTTTAATAATTTTATTTTCAGTTATGTTTTGGCTGTATAAATAAGGATGATGTGTTTTAAATGAGGGCTAGCTACTTGATACACTAAATGAAACCAAATAACCATTTCTTAAAACTTCAGTAATGCTGATTGTTTTTTTAAATCCTCACTCGAGGATATTGTACACAACCTCCTGGTACTTACTTACCAGAGGCTGTGTTTTTACACTGTATAGAAAGAGGAGGCAGGGTAAACCCAACCCATAATACACCTCAGCCCAGGCCCTTTGCTTGGTCTGTATTGTAAATGGGGGGACATGGAGGGGAAAGAAAGTACACAATCTACTATTGAGTGTAATTTGATGCTTTTTTAAAAAACCAGATCTTTAAATATCGTGTGTGTGCGCGCGTGCACTTGTATGTGTATAGGAAATGTCTGAAAATATATAGTTGACCATTGAACAACGCAGGGCTAGCGATGCTGACCCCTGTGCAGTAAAAAATCTTCATAAAACTCCCCCTCCAGCATATAACTTGACTCCTCCCAAACTTAACTACAAATAGCCTACTTTTATATTAGAAGCCTTACTGTTAGCATAAACAGTTAACACATATTTTGCTAGTTATATGCAGTATGTACTGTATTCTTTTTTTTTTTTTTTTTTTTTATCCTCACCGGAGGACTTTTTTCCATTCTTTATTCAGACAGAGCGGGAGGGAGAGGGAGGAAGAGAGAGAGAGAAACATTGACGTGAAAGGGACATATGGAGTGGCTGCCACCCGCACGACCAATCAGGGCCGGGGACAAACTGCAACTGAGGTACATGCCCTTAGCGGGAACCAAATCTGGGTCTCTCTGGACTGCAGGTCGGCGCTCTAACCGCCGAGCCAAACTGGCCAGGGCTATACTGTATTCTTAAATAAATAAGCTAGAGAAAAGAAAATATGAAGAAAATCATAAGGAAGGGAAAATACATTTGAAGTATTTATTGAAAAAAAATCTATGTGCAGTTCAAACCCATGTCGTTCAAGGGTCAACTGTACACCAAACACAATACTGGTTATTTCTGGGTGGATTAGAATTAGAGGAGAGGAAGGAAAGACTCTTGTATAAAATGTTCCACTGAACATGTATGTGTATATAAAAAGGGAAATTAGCCCCATTTATATGGTGATATTTGCTTGTGGTGCACCATGATTTTTTTTTTTTTTTTTATTTGGTACGTGCCCCTAGTGAGAAACGAACCCAGGACTCTCTAGTCCGTAGGCCAGTGCTCCAACCACTGAGCCAAACCGGTCAGGGCTGCACCATGATATTTGACATTAAAAGTTGACATCAAAAATTTTCAGTAATTTTTAAATCAGCTAATTAAAGAATTAGAAAGTATGTTTTTAAAGTAAAAACTGGAAACTATAGTTTGGTAAGTTGTTTCTCTTTTAAAAACATGCTTGGAGTTGCTTCTATCCAGGTGAACCTAAAATAAAAATTATAAAATGGTAACATTTACATTTTATTTTGTAACCTTAGCTGTTGGGTATACTTTTTTAAAAAAAACATTTAAAAAAATGTTCTTTATTGATTTTCGAGAGAGAGGAAGAGGGAGGGAGACAGAAACATTGAAGAGGGAGAACATCGATTGGCTGCCTCCTGCTTGCTTCCCACTGGGGATTTAGCCCACAACCTGGGCATGTGCCCTGACCAGGAATTGAACCGGTGACCTCTTGGTGCATGGGTCAATGCCCAACCACTGAGCACCCCTGCCAGGTTGGTATACTTTTTACTATTGGTTGATTGCAAAAGCTGAACAATAATAAATAACATTTCTTATACAATATAACTATGTACATGTTTTTCACAGTAGAGGCAAGTCTACAAGGGCTAAGATTTTGTTTCCTTTCCATCAGGATACCTTGTTTTGTTTTGTTTCTTTTCCATCAGTCATGTTACCTTGGTAAGGATCTTGAAAGACATTGTCTAAATGAATTCTCCTTTCTTACATTCTGCAGATTGGTTAAAATGATGCTGCCTTTTAGTTTTTTTCTTTTGGAGAAAGATTCCCTGATTCCTTCTAGCTATTCTTGAAATCCATTTTTATTTTTGCATTGTCTTTCTGTTTTAATTTTGGTGTTTTACTTCACATTTGGGTTATGATTCTCTTGTATATATTTACCCCTTTCCCCTAGTACATCCAACATTTTAAAATTTTTATTTTATTTTTTACTTATAGTTTACATTCTGTATTATTCTGTGTTAGTTTCAGATGTACAACATAGTGGTTAGACAATCATGTACTTATCCAAAGTTTTAGCTATCTTTCCCCTTTCCCCCATCTGCTTCTTTATTATATCCTCAGTCACATCCTCAATCATACCATCTATTCTGTAGAATTCTTTTTTCCTTCAGAGTGCTGTTCTGGAGACCGCTACTCCTAATCCAATCTGGACCAGTTCACTTGCCCAACAACTGGTGTTCTAGAATTCCCTTTCACATGTTGTCTTTGTTCTCCCTTGAATTTCGGGTGTTATGCTTTCTTTTTAAATGTTTTTTTCTATTTATCATCAGCTAGAATGAGAGAGAGGGAAGAGGGGGGGAAGGGAGAGAGAGAGAGAGAGAGAAACATTGATGTGAGAGACATACACCAACTGGTTGCCTCCCGCACAACCCCAACCAGGGCCAGGGATGAACTGCAGTCAAGGTACCAGAATTAAACTGGTGACTCATTGGTCCTTGGGCCAGTGCTCTAACCGCTGAGCCAAACCGGCAAGGGCGGGTTTTATGTTTTCTTGGTTTTCATTCTTATTTTGCTGGTGCACATTCTAAAGTAATTTTCTTTGAGGGAGTCATTAGAAAGTAAACTTTCTTATTACTTATATGATTAAAATACATTTCTCCTCTCACTTATGGTCCCACCTGGTCCAGGGTCCACACTTTGAGTACCAAGGTTCTAGGAAATATTCTCAACATTGTCTTTTCTTCATGGCCAACTTTTAAGTTAATTTAATTAAAATTTTTTTTGTCATGCCCCAGGTTTTCTTTAGATGTCCAGTGATATTGGTTGCCTTTTTATATTTAAGATGAAGCCATAGAGGGACTCTGGATAGGCTTGTTCTGTTATGTGAGTAGATAGGAAGCTGGCTCTTATACTGGAGGAGTCTTGAGAACCAGGGTGTGGAAGTTTTGACTTGAGGTACCAGTACCCAAACCTATCTGCTAGAGTTAGAAAACAGCTTCTGGTGTTGATCCCCTTCCTCCATTCATTTGTAGGAGAAACTTCTGTCAGAGGAGTGAAAGAGGTGTAGACATTCTTCTATTACTTAATTAGACCTCCCCTTTCCCCAGTCCTGTCTATTTTAATCCTCACCGAGGATATTTTTTTCATTGATTTTTTTTTTTTTTTAGAGAGAGAGGAAGGGAGCAGGGGGAGGTGGAGAGAGAAAGAGAAACATGGATGTGAGAAAGAGACATTGACGACTTGGGCCAGAATTGAAACTGCAACCCCAGATATGTGCCCTTGATGGGGAATCAAACCCAAGGCCCCCTGGTACGCTGGCCGACCTAACCACTGAACCACGCCGGCTAGGGCGACAGTCGTCCCTCACCACTTCATGCTTCGACTTTCGCAGCTTCACTCTATTGCAGTTAGTATATAATATTTGAAAAAACCACAATAGAGTGAAGCCGCGAAAGTCGGGGCGCGAAGTGGCGTGGGACGACTGTATAGTAAATAAAGAATCCTACTTTGCGGAAATTCATTTATTGCTGTAGAGTCTGGAACTGATTAACCACGATAAATGAGAGCTGGCTGTTGTCCTGTTTTTTATACTCCTCCTCCTGCTTACCTTTCTTCACTTGGAGCTTTTCTGAGTTGGGATTGGATTTCTCTTTGTCTTAGGCATTTTCTTTTCTTTTTTTTTTTTATCCTCACCCGAGGACACTTTTCCATTTTTTGTTCAGGTAGAGCGGGAAGGAGAGAGAGGAACAGAGAGAGAGAGAGAGAGAAACATCGACGTGAAGGGACACATCGAGTGGCTGCCACCCGCACGACCAACCAGGGCCGGGGACAAACTGCAACCGAGGTACATGCCCTTAGCGGGAACCGAACCCGGGTCTCTCAGGACCGCAGGCCGACGCTCTAACCGCTGAGCCAAACCGGCCAGGGCTGTCTTAGGCATTTTCTTACTACATTTTAGGTTGTGGTTAGGAACTTCTACAAGTTCGTTGAAGTAGGAATTTCTAGTTAAAGATAGTAGATTGAACACAAATATCTCACTAAAAAACTGTTTTGTTTTTTGTTTTTAATGTGTAAATCCACAAGGAAAGAAGAAAGGGTGAAGAGGTGAGCAACAACATTTGGAAACTATAAAGCAGAAGGGAAAGTGGTATATGACTTAGCATACATGATAGACCAGAGAGAGAGATTACTGTAGTAGTGTCAGTCTACTCCAGCATAAGAGAATACTGAAAAATGGCAGAAGTAAATTTATATGTCCTGTATAAATACTGATAATCCTCAGCCCCTTTCTCCAGCTCAGCTCCTAGAATATGACAGCCTGTCCTTTACCCTCCAGGTAGGAGATTGGAAGGTTCTTCTCCAGGCATCTGACCGTGCATGAGAAAAGACCTAAAGATACTGACTGACACTGGAGGTTCCTCAGTGAAATGCCTGATCCCCTTAAATGGTGTCTCATAGTTTTACAACCCTCTCAAATAGCTTTGTGGTCTGTCATACTTAATTATGAATGTCTGAAGTAGGCTCTCTTAACATGAAAGTAAAATTAAGACTAACAGGGAAAAAAAGCTGCTGGGAAGACTTAAACTATGTAGGTAACAAGAAAATTAAAAAACAAACAAACATATATCTCCTTAAAGAGGTAGGTTTTTACAATCATGAAATAACAGGATAATCTATAAAACATAATCTAAACAATTAAAAAGCATTTAGGAATTTAAAAAGTGAGAAGCAGGAACTCAAACCTTGGTGGATGGTTTGTAAGATAAGCTAAGAACCTTTCCCAAGCCCTGGCCGGTTTGGCTCAACGGTTAGAACTTTGGCCTACGGTCCAGAGAGACCCGGGTTTGGTTCCCGCTAAGGGCACGTACCTCAGTTGCAGTTCGTCCCTGGCCTTGGTTGGGTTGTGCGGGAGGCAGCCACTCGATGTATCCCTTTCACATCGATGTTTCTCTCTCTCTCTCTTCTTCACTCTCCCTCCCACTCTGTCTGAACAAAAAATGGAAAAATGTCTTCGGGAGAGGATAAAAAAACAAACAAACAAACATTTCCCAGAAAGTGGGGGAGGGTATGAAATCGGAGAAAAGTAAA